ATACCAAAGAAAGGTGATCTTAGCAAGTGCGATAACTACAGGGGCATCACTCTTCTCTCAATACCAGGAAAAGTCTTCAACCGAGTATTGTTAAACAGGATGAAGGATTCCGTGGACGCCCAACTTCGAGATCAACAAGCTGGATTTCGTAAGGATAGATCGTGCACAGATCAAATCGCAACTCTGCGGATCATTGTGGAACAATCAATCGAATGGAATTCATCACTCTACATCAACTTCATCGACTACGAGAAGGCATTTGATAGCGTGGACAGGACGACACTATGGAAGCTTCTTCGACACTACGGCGTGCCTGAGAAGATAGTAAATATCATACGGAACTCCTATGATGGACTAAACTGCCAAATCGTCCACGGAGGACAACTCACCGACTCGTTTGAATTAAAGACTGGTGTAAGGCAAGGTTGCTTGCTCTCACCGTTTCTTTGTCCTGGTAATCGACTGGATCATGAAGACGTCAACATCTGGAGGAAATCACGGGATACAGTGGACAGGCAGGATACAGCTTGATGATTTAGACTTCGCGGATGATCTGGCTCTTCTATCACAAACGCAACAACAAATGCAGGAGAAAACGACCAGTGTAGCAGCAGCCTCAGCAGCAGTAGGTCTCAATATAAACAAAGGGAAAAGCAAGACTCTCCGATACAATACAACATGCACCAACCAAATTACACTTGACGGAGAAGCTTTGAAGGATGTGGAAACCTTTACATATCCAGGCAGCATCATTGATGAACACGGTGGATCAGATGCAGATGTGAAGGCGCGGATCGGCAAAGCAAGAGCAGCATATTTACAACTGAAAAACATCTGGAGCTCAAAACAATTGTCAACCAACACCAAGGTTAGAATTTTCAACACAAATGTCAAGACAGTCCTACTGTATGGGGCGGAGACGTGGAGAACTACGAAAGCCATTATCCAGAAGATACAAGTGTTTATTAACAGTTGTCTACGCAAGATACTTCGGATCCGATGGCCAGACACTATCAGCAACAAGTTACTGTGGGAGAGAACAAACCAGATTCCAGCAGAGGAAGAAATCAGGAGGAAGCGCTGGAAGTGGATTGGGCACACCTTGAGGAAATCACCCGATTGCGTCACAAGACAAGCCCTCACATGGAATCCTGAAGGTCAAAGGAGAAGAGGGAGACCAAAGAACACATTACGCCGAGAAATTGAGACAGACATGAGAAGAATGAACAAGAACTGGATAGAACTAGAAAAGGAAGCCCAGGACAGAGTGGGTTGGAGAATGCTGGTCGGCGGCCTATGCTCCATTGGGAGTAACAGGCGAAAGTAAGTAAGTAAGTAAGGAGTTCTTATTAGTAACATAGCATTTTGGGAACGATGCCAACAAATCATTGGCAAATTTGAGACTATCTATAAGAAGCGATCGTTCGCATGTTTGTAACTAACCGCATTTGTGGACAACACTGCACTTGAACATAGACCTATTTTCTTGAGGTAGTTCATTGTTTTGTAGATGAAAATCAATGTTCTCCCTTGGATACAGACATAGTTTTTCTCCAATAACCCAATATCCGGCTGCAATCACCAACTTACTTTTGCTTGGTGCGTTAACGATTACATACTTATTGTTGGGAGACTAAATATTACATAACAGGAAATTAATGGAAATACAATTACATAACAGTGTGTAACAAAGGGACAATAACCAAATGATTAACACAATTTATAGACATACATTTACAGTCAGCATCATGAATCGAAACCCAACTGTAATCACTGCTAACTACGGAGCATTTAAATATTCCTATGTCAGTGGAAGGTAATGGATCTTCAATGTAATTTTGTGGGTCTGGGAATTGCCTGAATTTTAAGAGTCCACTCTCTTGAATATCAGTTATTAATCCCGGCTTTCCGTTGACTACTACAACATTATCAGGCTTAAATGAATTTATTTTACTATTCCTAAACATTATTACTTGCTTACGTGAGTCAGCCTTACCTATTACCGCGTTATCATGAGTCGATATGTCAACCTGGAGCCTATCGCAGAAAGACATTTGTTCCGCGTAACGCTGAGCTGCTTGCTTAGCAACGGAATACCCACTGTGTACAGATTTCTTAATTTGTCTCATATAAAACTCGAATGGAAATGCTGAGTAGCTATCTAACGGTCCATGTGCCAGAACATCGTCAGGAAGATGCTGTAGCGAGTGCACATTATAAACTAAGTTTTCACATCCGTAACACCATTCATATTCTCTTAGAAAATTCCTTAAATCCATCCTGACAGATTCTATCACCCTAATATAAAACTTAGGATGTGCAAGCAAGTAAATGTACAAAGCAAGACGTTTAAAATTTAGATACAAAGGTTCAGGCAGAATACTTTGGAGAATAACCGGGCCTAAGTATAGAAGAAACAACCTACACTCCGGCGCCTTCCATACCGATACGTAGTCTAGTGTTCGATATTTACGCTGAAAGTCAGAGGGAGTACTTTCCATGCACCTATATATCAACTTATTTATAGTCCTAATTACACATGAGTTTACGTTTTTTAGCCTCTTGTGTCCTAATCCTATCCAGAGAGTCACAAGTTTCTTTGTGACACCTAAGTAAACCATGTGCATGGGACCTAAGGGGAAAGTTGAGATCATGTCTATCGGAAGACTTTCGAATATAGAATGTCCTTGATGGTGAATAGATTGTGTCTGATTCCGGAAACTGTCGTCAGTTTTTAACGTATATTCACCGTTTGGGAAAGTCGTCTTTCCATCAAGTCGTCTATCATTTACAACACACCGGTCGCAACCTGCCTTTCCGTTGTGATTAACAGTGTATCTAACATCAGAACGAGCAGGTGCATCACATATTACCGCATTTAACTTAATAGCTATGTATTTGTTGAACCTAACACTAAGTAAACCCATTTCAGTCATTTCTTTTATTTCAGAAATAGTGTCGGCAGAAATTTCGTTGAATTGTGCCGGCTTAGTATTCCCTCCGTAGATCCCTATCATGAAGACATCACTTAGTCTAGAGGCAACGATCCGTCCTAATACAGGTCACAAATGTTGACTTGAGCTCCTTGACATAGAAAGCCCATCTATATTAATATACAATTATAAAGTGTCGAGATCACAACTACACAACCAACGTTCAACATATCTTAGCAGGTTAGTCTCCAATCCGAGATGGTAGTAAACCCCACTGCTGATGGACTTTGGTTGTACACTTGTGCACGTCTTCAAGAGACTTCTAATGCTGGTCGGCAAGTCTGGTAGGAGAAGGCAAAAGTCATTCAGAATCCTGTCTGCATCTCGGATACTCAGAGAGGTTGATGTCATTAAATTCATTAATATCATGTTGGTCTTCTCTTTACGATTTAAGGGCTTGTGGCAGGGCAAATCGACAGTAGAACATCCTATAAGAAATTTATTAACGCATAAACTTCAAACACGTACCATTATCTTCCAGAAGCCTTTCATTGGTACAGCTTGTGGAAGGTATTACAGTTGAAGGAATCTCATGACAATTAGTTTCTCTGTCAACTGACATCGTTTCTACATATATAGGTGGTAAAGTCAGTTACCTGTAGTCGTGCTTTCAATAGCAAAGTTACTAAACGAAAGCAAGTCATCTCTCCTCAGAAAATCTGTACGTAATTTATTCCACCATCTGTTATAAGTAGATCTATGACAGCCGAGGACTCTTGACAAGTTCACGGTTGCCCTACGTCTACATCACAAATTACTTACACGATGCAAGTGAGTGACGTGCCCTCTGTTTTTTAGTTCCTTCTGACTGTTTACCTTGTTAGTCCTATAACATGAGTTTAATCCAAGTCAGTGAAATAGCTCGTAGACGCAGGTTTTGAATGATAAAACATGTTTAGAATTCCCTGATTCACTACTTCGTCAACAAAACACTTTAAGCTGTACACATTTCACACTAACTGTTCTGATTCATATTCAGTCTAAAAAGTAAGACTCATTCTGCAATTTTGTGAAGTTTATGTAGAATCTTGGATGATCTATCAAGTGCATGTATAATGAATAACTCCGGAAGTAAACATACGAAAGTACTGTTGTGATCACTTTCTCTAAGGTGTTTTCGTAGTCTGAAAATGGTTGATCAGGCGTTTGTCTGAATTGTTACCTAAGGTTCTAGGTTAATAAAGCCTGTAAAAAGCTTTCAAACATTTGACTTCAACTTGTATGATCTCCATTTTTGTTAAATGTGGTAATTTCAATGAAAGTCTCGTCATTGATTTCTGGTCTTAGAGTTAACTCCATTGTACGTAGATTCTTTTCAACTCTAAGTTCACATAGATGATAGAAAAAATATGTTGACAGCAAATTTGAAGACCGCTATTTTTATCATAATTAGTCGTCAGTTTATGTTGTACACCTAGTTTTTAAAGGATAGGATGGTTCCTAGTGGAGCAATTAGTCAGTTTATAATCATGATCAATGATGATTTAATTTTGATTTCTGCATTTCGTAGACGTTGTTAGTTGTCACATTGAATTCACTTGAAGTCACTAACTTCTAGTCTGAGCCATGTTGGCAGATGTAGACTACTTGGTTCGGGTCCGCATGACTATCGTAACCAATGGTTGGAGACTCTACGTGACATGGCTCAGAATCGATCACAATGGCGTAGGTGTATACACTCTTTATCTCCCGTTAAACCTTGAGATTAAAATTGCTTCATAACTTTTTTCCTTCCTATGCTATATCCTTATATACAACCTTTCTTTATATACTACCACCACTAAATTAATTACCTCTATGGATCCGGTGTTGATCTTGTTGTGCTAATGAGGTATGTCAACTTGGACCGATGCATATATGTGCCTGGTCCTACATTGTAGCTGACTAACTGACTGTCACATTGCTATATGAATATTTCACCTATGTTACCATTTAAAGTAGAACTCCTCACCTTTCTTTCATCAATGACCTGTTTTATCCTTTCCGTTTCTGTACTTGTCTTTTCAGCTCCAGGAAGGACCTCGTCTCGTGGAAAATCCATACTCCTGGAATAAAGTAGGTCAATTGTATTTTTTATTGTTTGGTTTGATATTCCCAATATACCCTAAATCTTTTTTTAATTTTCTACAAAAGTATCTTGATCACTTTTGTTGATCAGTCCAGTTGGTTTATTCATGAAAACAACTATTAAAGTGCTTATCAACTCTGTATTTACTCCTCTACAACTATAAGATGCACCTATTATCAAAATATCATGTACTATAGAATTTCATTTTTCAGATAACTGCTCATGTGTTATGTAACCCATTCAATGCGTTTTTCACGTTCGTCCTCGGCTTTATGTAAGAAGCTCAAGTTTGTTGATGTGGTTTGGTATATTTGTGATGAATTATTTTGTTTCGATTTTTGCGGTACTAATTGAGGTAGAGCTGCAAAATCTTCTATATTTAGATCAAGCTATGGTTCCAGGTCATGAAATCACTGTAGTATTTTATAGAATCCTAAAATATAGACAAATTTATGTACGTGAAACTAATTAGGCCTATAAACTAAGTTATACCATATAAACTTAATTTAATCCTTACTATTTCGTGTATACCTCCTTACGATTGACTTTTTAATATTCATGTCTCAAGGGTGTATATGATTGTATGTGTCTGCCTAACTAGATACCCGTTTGTTCCCTTATACCTCGATTTTGTAAACTTTGATGTATATGTTAGACCGATTATAAGCTATTTACATTTATACATGTAATTTGTTTCGACATTCAATTTCTGATGATTTGAAATAATTAACTAAAGTCTGTTTGGTTGTCTAAGTTAGTAACATATGTCATGTAGGATTCAAATGATACATTTACAGATTGTATAAAATTTTGATAAGAATTGCTTCAGCATGAATGATATATTTAACGAAATCGAGTATGTTTTTTTTCTTCAGATTTTTGGGTCATATATTCTTAGTTCAATGTCTTGAATGTATGAAATAAGTTTTGTAATTTATGGTTTCATCTGTTCCTGATGAATCGACTTAAAATCGTCCACATCGTCTCTACTACACTCTGAATCTCAAACATTACTCTTACTCGTCATTTATTTCCATATCCCAACTCATATCATTTGCGTATAGAGGTGCAGGGAATTTAAAGTTGTTTAAAGATATGTAATCACATAATATATCAATAGTCTTTTCCAAAGGTACATTTGTGAACAAGGGATTCACATCAAATGAACACATCGTGATTCCCTTGATTTCAATATCACCTAAATGATCTTTAGAAGATAGCTTCATAGGGGGTAACAGGCGTAAATAAGTAAGTAAGTACAAAATCTCGCCAGAAGTGACTGTGAATGTAGAAGGCTGTAATTATTAGACTGTGCATAACTTTGAAACGATAAATCGTATATTAATAATAATCTATAGATTCGCTTATATATGTAGTTCTAAAGATGGATTGTTTGATTGAGTCATGTTCTAAAGATCATTTAGGTGATATTAACATCAAGGGAATGACAATGTGTTCATTTGATGTGAATCCCTTGTTCACAAATGCACCTTTGAAAATGACTATTGATATATTATGTGACTACCTATCTTTGAACAACCTTAAATTCCCTATCCCTCTTAAAATTCTTAAAGATTTACTGCTATTATATACTGAAAAAATCTAGTTCACATCTGAAGGTGAATACTTTCGCCAGGCCGATGGGATTGCTATGGATAGTCCGTTCGGACTATTATTAGCAGGTGTGTTCATGGCACATGTTGAAAATCTGGTTGAAGGCCTAATGGAAAACATGTCACTTTATAAAAGATATGTGGACGATATCTTATTTGTCTGTGAAAGAAAGGAGGATATAAACTATTTATTGAATAAACTTAACACTCCAAAATCGCATCAGTCTCTAATGCGAAGAAGAGAAGAACGACCACTTTCCCCTCCTAGATATACTTGCAAGTGAATAAGAAGATGACCCAATCAAACGATCTACTTTTAGGAAGCCAACGTGGACAGGCCAATACCTTAGTTATTATAGTTATTGTTCTGTGCAATACAAACAGAGTTTGATAAGATGCCTATTTAACATGCTTGACCGTATTTGTACAAACGACACTATTGATAATGATGTTAGGTTGCTAAACAAAACATAAATGGCAAATGGCTATCCCATTAAATACATACATAGATGGATAGTTCATGGTACAGTGAGACCTACTATAACGTCGACAGAAAGAAAGCTAATTGAATACCATCTCTTCTATTTAGGCTGTTCATGTTCGCCCCGTACATCAATGATTCATAAACAATTTTTCAACCTTCAACTTGTACTTTAATTTTTATTTTATATTATAACTAATTTAACATCTAATATCAACTATTGATAACTCACTCTTACACATACACATACACACAATTTATTCAGTCACTTATTTTCACACTGTGAACTTTGTGAATTTGATTTTCATTTAACTGACCTTGTTATATAAGAACTTTCGTCTAAATTAAAGCGAGTAGTTTCATAGTATTTGGGCACCAAATTGATGTAAGACATTAAATAGGAATAGTATTGTAGATGGCATCGAGTCTTGATTGACTGTGATCACCACTACAATAAGATTACGCACCCAAAAACGACTTGGTCCCTTTGATAACTCGCAAACCAGAAGGTTGTAACTGGTCTAGATAGAGTATATTTATTGGCAATCTCGTGGTATCGAATGAATTGCGAGACGTGCCAAAGATTACAGGCAATAAGAGCAGAGTGTAAGAATGTTTAAACGAACAAGATGAATAGCGGGACGAGAAGTGACTTTGATACAGTTAAACAACAACGAGTACGGTAAAACAATCACTGGTACAATTGGTTATAATAATAATTGTTTCCGTTATACCAATCACTACAGTATATTTGTAAAATCTCAGCGAATGAATTTGAAGTAAATCCAACGTTTCACCTGGTAATCTGGTCCAGGCATTTTCAAGGAAATATTTCCTGTTGTTCTTATCAGAAAAGGGTTTTGTTTGCCCATGGTGGTCTAGTTTTAATTGACTCATTAATTCAATAACGTTATTCTATTTATTAAGGTCAGAATCTTAATGTGATTGGATTATCACAGGATGGATTTGTTTGGATTGTTTAACTCCATATATATATTTATGTGATGATCTTCATTTCGATTACTGTCCTAAAGAAGTTCAGATAAGTTTGCTGGACGGAATGTTGGAATCATTTCAATTTTCGAGATTATTTCAAATATGATTTTCATATATAATGACTTCTTTATACTCGGCGCCTAATTTTTGTCACACTGTTCGCTCTAATATTGATGAATATTCGTGCACATCAGTGTGCGTGTTGTATAGATGATGGTTAGACTAGTGTTGCTCAAATAATTGGGCAGTAACTACTAATTGTTTTTGTAAGGATGACTCGTTGGTAAACTCTAGGAAGCTTCAAGAAGCCCAGAAAGAGCCGAAGACATTCCATCCAATCACTACTAGGGGAATATTCTAGAACGTCGACGTGTAGCTTCCCTATTGGATGGATAAGAATGACCCCCTATGTGCCTAATGGTTGTCCGAAATGATGATTTACTCTCAGTCAAAAACTATAAATACATGAGATTTATGTACTATATCTTGACACTGTTTTAGGGAATAAATTTCCTGCCTACTAGTCTTCTGTCTTCTCTCTTAGCGACGTTGCGGGTTCAATCGTTCAAGTAGTCTAGTAGTACGCGGCACAGCAAGAATCAAAGCTCTAGATATAACAGTTTTATATTTTCAGTAATGAGAACACATAGTATTGTGTTACATTTCACAGCTTCACGATGTATCCTAAAAATTGAGATTAACACCTAAGTATATTCATGATAATCCTCATTTGCACACCGTTTTCTTCTTTTCTGGTTATCTTGTTCATAATTCAAGATTATCACAGCAAATAGTGAACATATTATTCAGTCAGTCAGTCACAACGTAGAACTTCGTACGTACGTACATCAGTTCGAGTTGCCATACCACATTAGCACAGAGATTCAGTTGTCGATTCGAATCCCATAGTGGTAGAAGTAGTAAGAGTATAAGCATTAATGTGAAGGATTAGGGTTTAAAGATGTTATTGAAGGAGTATAATCTAGTGAAATAAATTTGGAGAGAGAAAAATGATAGAGACATGGAGAATTCAGATGGTTAGAATCCTGGAGAGCACGAGGAGTCGACGCACCTTCGCCATTGCAAACGATTTTGAGCCATGTCATTCAAGGTCTCTAACCATCGGTTGCTATCATCTCGCGAATCCCAACCAGGTAGTCTAAACCTACCGGCATGACTCAGTCCAATTGTCAGTGACATATTATTACTGCTTGTAAATGTATATTATGTTGAGTAGAAATTGACTACACCAATTTTCCCATATAAACTAAAACTGTTTAGTTGACATTATTTTGTTTTTTCTTTAGGTTGCTAATGTTTTATACCTAGAGGCACCGGCTGGTGTAGGATTCTCTTATTCTTCTGATCCTTCTCAAGTATGGGATGATGATCGAGTAAGCACTATGTTGTTGTAACAAATGGTTCTAAAGCATTGCTTTCATTATTGTACTTTTCACTGTTGATTTTTTTTAAGATGGAGAAGTAATTCGATGAATTCATCCAACGATCCATCCATTAGTTCACTTAAACCAATTGTTTCCTTGTGATTTACATGTTGACGTCATTTATTGCATGTGGTTCAGCCAACTAAACGCAAATATTTCTTCATAGTCCGAATAGGTTTGAAATTCATACCAAACACTGCATATGTATATGTGTGTCGTTTATTTCTTTGTTGGCAAATTCTACTTCCATATTGATTTGTCAGTCACTTTTCAACTGTTTACCAAGTAGGACTTGTCCAAGACAATAGACTAAATCAATGTATTATTATGTATTATGTATTATTATCGGTTAAGGGCTCTGGCGCGAGACTGGTAGGTCCTGGGTTTGAATCTCACGAGTGCGGGATCGTGGACGCGCACTGCTACTGAAGAGTCCCATAATAAGACGAAACGGCCGTCCAGTGCTTTCAGGTTTTCCATGGTGGTCTAGCTTCAATTGACTCATGATTTCAACTTTAGAAAATGTATTATTTAATACAATCAGTGACAATGATATTAAGCTATCCAAATTGATCATGAATATTGGTTATGGATTCATGAGGTATTTAGAAAAGCAGTTTTGTATTCTATTTGAAGTATACATAGGAGCTTCATACAATCTATTACCTTTATGAATTAGAATAAAGCCAGAACAACAATTGAAATAGGATAATATGAATTCACTATATATTGTAGTTTCTCATCAGCTTCTTACAGCCATATATGTATTGGAAAAGTAACATTGAAGTATGATATAATGTGAAACAATCGACACTAATGATGAAGAGAATTAGAATAAAAGGGCTATCAACAATGACTTTATATGTAAATATACAAGTGCAAGAACAGTTTCGAGGCCATTTGAAGATGGGATTCAAAATTAGCGGGATGGGTGATGCATCAACTAAATAAATTCCGGAGACAGATACGATGGATTTTGTGATAAATTTAAAGGTGAAGGGTTTACATAAGCTTACAGGAATTAGAAATCGACAAGATGGGTTACCTAATAATTGAACAGAATTTGAAGGGTTTACATAAGTTAAGAGAATCAAGTGAATAAAGATATATGAGTGAAGGGATAGTTTTGGTGTACCTGAAATAAGAATTAGTTGAGTGAAGAACACAACAAAATAAACCCTAATGATAGAAATAGTTTACGATGGTAGTGATAAGTTTATTACTGTCTCTTTTTGAATACATAAATCAGGTTTGAGTTTATTTATTGCTATTACTTCAACAAACGGAAGCGACACTGCGTTGTTTTATCTGAAGGCTTGTAGAATGTCAATAGTATACCCGGCGTCAAGTAAATACCGAGTTCTCCCACTCTTTAGAACACATGCGCCTCTCAGTCTCAAGTGTTTTGGAAACGTGTTCGGAAATGTGAACATATACTCTGTTGTCTGTCGTTCCAGTGTGTGATTTGGTATGTACATGTAAAATAGTGAATGCGTTGAAGGTTGCTAATCCATCAGCAAGACTGACGACATTATGCCAAACAAACAAAAATGACAGGTACCTTCGACTGCATATTATATATATACAGTTATTATTGATAATCTTTGTCATTCTAATTCTCTGCGTCATCAATGTCGATTGTTTCACATTATACCACATCTTAATGTTACCTTCCAATGCATATATGGTTGTAATAAGCTGATGAGGAACCACATAATATAACGAATTCATATTATCTTCAAATATTACACGGAGAACACTAAACCAATCACACTTGATGAAGAAACTCTGGAAGAGTTGGAATCATTCACGTACATCGGAAGCATTATTGATGAACATGGAGGATTGGATGCAGACGTAAAGGCGAGGATTGGCAAACTAAGGACAACATTCTTATAATAGAAGAGCATATGGAACTCAAAACAACTATACGGAGCTGAAACGTAGAAAACTACTACTACCATCATCAAAAACGTTCAATTATTTATAAACATCAGAAGGGGTTTTGTGGAGATTTAGTATTTTTCATAGTTGAAAGCGTGAGTCAATTGAAGCTAGCGAGCGGGTTCGTGGATGCGCACTGCTGAGGAGTCCCATAATAGGACGAAACGGCCGATCAGTTTTTCCAGGTTTTCCATGGTGGTCTAGCTTCAATTGACTCACGCTTTCAACGATTTATAAACAGTTGTCTATGCAAGATTATTTATTTATTTATTTAAACACATACATATTGGTACAAAAGAGCACCAGATACATATGCACCACACAAAATAATGAAAGTAGGAAGAGAAGGGATGAAAAGATAAGGCGGACTGAAATGTAAAACCAAAAGGCACGACGTGGAAGTCTCTGGGACGACATTCGTAAAACATGTCCAAGCCACCGAAGTCGGTGTTTCAAGATGGTGACATCACTTGAATTATTGTCCCTGCGCTCGAACACACGATGCCGAACCTCTACATTACTAACATGGTGTTGCCACTGGATGTCAGCAATCCTTCGGAGACAACGATGATCGAACACAGAGAGTCGTCTAACATCCTCAACTCGGAGAGGCCAGGTTTCACAAGCATAGAGCAAAACTGCTCTCACCGACGCCTTATAGATCCGACCTTTTACAGCCAGACTAACATCACGAAGGCGCCAAAGATGGCCCAGATTGGCACAAGCCGCTCTGGCTTTCGTTATACGTGCATCGATCTCATCACTCACGCCACCACGAGCACTTATGTAGCTACCTAGATACACGAACTTCTCAACTACTTCAATCTGCTCACCATCTAGGCTGAGTACAGGGTGAGAATCCTGCCAGTCTTGTAGGAGTACTTTGCACTTGGAGGGTGCAAAGCACATGTCGTACCTGCGGACACTGATTGCCAACTGATTAAGTGCTGATTGCTTGCCTTGGGCATTATCGCACAGTTAGACAATATCACCCGCAGCCTACCGTGGGAGACGACACACCAGCTTCCGGCTGAGGAGGAAATTGGTAAATGATGTCGAAAATGGATAGGACATATATTGAGGAAATCATCAAACTTCATAATGAGGCGAGCTCTAACTTGGAATCGTGAAAGGAAGTGGAAAAGAGAAAGGCTGATGGAAATGCTACGTCGAGAGTTGGAAGTAGACATTAGAAGAATGAATATCAATGAGAAATAATTAGGAAGGACCCCTCCAAGAGGGGTAACAGGCGTAAGTAAGTAAGATGATGAAAAATCACGAAATATAATGAACTCACATTTCTGTCTCATTTGTTGTTCTGGTATTATTCATATACAGAGATGTCTAGGTAAATAAGTAGTATTATTAAACTTTACACAAAACCATTTCATCTGTTTGTTGATACATGACTTTTTAGTCACCGTATCACAATTATTATTCTCATCAGGTGTGTGCATGTGTAGTGATGGTGGTGGGATAGGATAAAAGTTATCAGGTCGCCACTCATTAATGAATCGTCTTACACATCTTTATCATAAGCCCCTAAATGCATTCAGTATGCTGATGTTGTTATGAGATTTCGAGTATTTCGGTCCCAAATAATCAATCATTTTCTAATCTCATGGAGAGAATCCTTTGATTTTACTAACGCGTACCAACTCGCACGAAACGTAGATCAAGCAGAGCTTCTTACCGTTCACCTATAATCACCATGTCACCTAGTCAGTCATAACCGGAGTAGAATGTGACCTTCAACTACCTAACATAATAAGTATCCTTTGTCATCTATTAACTTGTGCTTGAAAGTTTGAAGTGTTTTTCATTTATGCATATAATTTTTGTGTTATTATAATCGAATTCCCTTTCATTGAATTTTCATTTTAAAAAATAGACTGCTTCAGACAATTATCATGCATTGCTTCATTTCCTGGAAAAATTCCCTGAATATGAAGGACGTCGTCTATTTGTTACTGGTGAAAGTTATGCCGGTGTTTATGTGCCAACATTAGGTCTACTTCTTTTGAATTCAACAAGATTCGACTTTAAGGTATAATTAAACAGTTTTTTTTGTATAAAAATATGAAACGTAGTTATCATGATTCTTCAGAAAACCAGCAAACAGTTTTTCTTGATATTATGAATCGATATAAGTTAGTCAACCATTGAAAACCTGGAACCACTGGACGTGCGTTTTATCTTAGTATGAGACTTCTCTGCAGTACACACACGACTGAAAAACTGGGAACCGAACCCAAGATCTTTAACTTGACAAGCAGACGCTTAACCTGTAGACCACTGAGCCGGTATCCAACCATGTACAAGTCGAACTTCAATCAATCCATGTAGCTGCATGACTATCTTCTCCCAATGGTCTTCTTAAACGTTTATCCAGTTTGTTATCATGTTTTTCAATATTACCTACCTAGAATAGTCGATGCTGAGTCTTGGTCAGAATTAGCCATGCTTTTTAAGAGTGTTCATCATATTATTGGTGTGATGAGTTTATAATTAAGACCAGGAATACCCCCTGAATTCCTCTGATCAATCTACATGAAAACACTCTTATATAACAGTTTATTGCACTGTCCAATTGTCCAAACAAGATATTTATGTGACAACGAGAACACATGAGTTGATTTCAGCAATGCTAGACGTCGGCTGACAGATGGTTCGTCTAGAAAGTTTGATAAACCCCAATTTCAATCTAGTTGTATAGATGAGTTTCAGTGTCCTGAAAGAATCGTTTCTACAATGTTCAGCAATATTTTTTTGGTATTAAGCTGAATAAAACCTACCTCAGGACTAATCAAATATATAAAACTAACATCCACTTAAATTTGTGTTCAGAAAACGTACTCTGTCAGATAACACTAACTCAATTAATTACCCGCCTTATGAAATTCGTCTGTCTGATCTGACTAATTATTCGTCTTTCTCATGAAGCCTATCCTCGAATCCTAACTGCAACCAGATTTCAATAGACAACGCCATTGAGTAAATGATCAAATCTATGTATTTGGGAATAGTATGACCAGTTAGTCATAATTAACATATAGTGCCTGTCACACATTTTGTTCATTACGCCAGGTTGGTACCCCACATCGAGACGAATAGCAACATAGTCGAAGTAATCGTAATATTAATGATAGTGAGAAGCACTAAGCATTCAGAACGTGGTTCCAGAAGACGAAATAAAAACTGTATGTATGAAGGAATACTGGAATTTGAAAAAGAGTTCGATAGAGGATGAATACATATATTCATGAAAATTATGTTCTAATTTCAGTTCAACAGGTTCGTTGATGTAAATCTTGAACTGTTCCGTCCTTTTTTTTTCTTAAATTGTAGGCCATTGCTGTCGGGAATGGATTGACAAATTACCGATTCAATGATAATTCTCTTTTGTATTTTATCAATTATCATGGTTTGATTGATGAAACGTAAGTAATCAGTGTGTGTGCATATATATATATGGATGTTTAGGAGTGGATGTCAATGTGACTATTAAATACTTCCATAATTAGTATTTGCTTAAATAATGATAAAAATCCCATCTCCTTTGAACCGTATTTCTTTTCATGATTAGTCTTACTTATGGAAACCAGTTGTTACGATTTTTTATGTTTCATATCGTTCTTGATATAAAACGGTACTGCAGTCGGTGTATAGCTTTGTAACTTTATCAATTGAATCGTCATCTATTCCAAAATAAAACACGTTAAACACCTCAAGAATTCAAACTGTTTAGCTGACCTATTTTCTTCAGATTTTTATCCAACTTCTCCTCAGTTTGACCATTTTTCATTTCGGAAATGATCTGCAAAACAAGGATTGGTTGAAGTTAGACATTAACACCGTTGGATGCAGGCTCAGTGGTCTATCGGTTAAGTGCTCTGGCGCGAGACTGGTAAGTCCTAGGTTTGAATCTCGCGGACGAGGGATCGTGTGTGCGCACTGCTGAGGAGTCCCATAATAGGACGAAAAAGCCTTCCAGTGCTTCCAGATTTTCGGTGGTGGTCTAGCTTCAATTGACTCATGATTTCAACTTTGAAGATTCACAAATTGTCTAGATATTATGACTAAGGAAAGCGATCTACACTGTTGCCAATTAAATTAATGTTTGTGAACTGGTAAACAATCACTTCCAATTTAGCATAAAACACTCAGATAGACGATATAGCCTAAAAAACGGGATATTCACTTAGTATTGTTTGTTTGAATCTTCCCGTTGATGTTTAAGACTGCAATTGATCAGTCTCTTATTGGCATATGCGCATCATGTGCGGACTGCCTCGATATAGCCTTAATTCACAAACATTATAAGCAAAGATGGATAGTGGCTGGCAGTGGAATCCAGTTTGACGCGCGTTTCGTCCTATTTGTGATTCGTCAGCTGGATGTACCTGCATCTCAGAGTTGGTGTTCACTCTGGGACTCGAGCAAATGGCTATCAGGACTCAGTAGTTGAGTGGATAACGCGATGCCGTTTGAAGCGAAAGGTACTGAGTTCGAGTCTCAGAGTGAACATCAACTCTGAGATGTGGCAGGTACATCCAGCTGACGAGTCCCAAATAGGACGAAACGCACGTCAAACTGTATTCCACTGCTGGCCACTATCCATTTTTGCTTATAACGGGATAGTCAGTTTGAAAGTTCTACATGTGAGGAGTTTTCGTAATGTTTTTGATAGTTGTCAAATTGGAATGAAAGAAGCGCATTTCCATAAATGTTAGAGGAGTTTAAAGTATGATAAAATTACTGTGCTCAAATTTCTATGAAATGATGTTGTTCTCATATAATTTAGCACATTTATTCAACAAATTACTACTACTCTACTTGCACACACACAAGTTGGTTGCTGAGAGAGGCGTACTACTAATAATGTGGATTGAAATTAAGTCTTGCAGTTGTTTTTCGAGAGGGTGGGTAGGAGTAGCAGAATTAAATTTGATCTACTAATCAGCACCTCCCTGAACTGTTCACTATGTTATAGTTTAATAGTTATGAAGAGACGAACCAACACTGAAGTGATAAATAGAGAGAATACAATGAGCACACTTATCGATGTTATATGTTTTATTCAAATCAAATGCTTAATTCTGTGCAAAATAGTCATGATTTTATACGGCCATCAATGTTTCCTTCTACTCTTATTCCCCTTCATCTTTGTTCCTTAGTTCATGGAATGATCTAATTAATAAATGCTGCAAAGATAAATGTTCAACCGTTTGTATGTTCACCGATAGTGAATCACTCGAATGTCAACGGATTGTAAGTTAGTTTATTCATATTCAGTCTGTTTACTGACTTTTAGTATCGGTGTAATTTGTTTCGTTGTTTTTACAAATATTTCCTCATCACTTACACATTGAACGTGTAGTTTCAGTTGAACTGGGCATGAGTACATTACATATGTCTTATTCACCGTCTCCATTCTGACGTGTGTTAGAGTAGTTGAGCTAAAAGTGTGTGAAAACTGTGTTAGGGGACCGTCGAAGAGCTTCGTAAAGCCACAGGCTATTTAACTGTAACATTTAGGTAAATGCTTTCTGGTTTGATAACCTAAATAAAAATAGATCACATTTCACCAACAATACTTTTTATTTGAATCAATATTTTCATACATTACGATTGTCGTGTTTTATAAGTTAGTTATAGATACCTTTAATCTTTTCACATACTGGGAATACGTTTTATCTTGCACATATGTGTTATGGTGAAGCTAAAAGAGGGGTTTCTGCATCCCCCTTTCAAGATCTCATACAAATACGCGTTTTGAGCCTTTAGTAATGGAGTCTTGCCGACTGGGTCCTCGTTGTAGAGGCGTTTTTTACGGACGAAAGAGGACGGAAAGTGAACGTGTTGGACTCAAAACGGGTTGAGATATACATAAGTTCCACTTAAGGTAGTCGGAAAACCCTAACTTCAAACCAGTTGTGTTACATGCACTGCAGTATCGTGAAAAAATGGATAGTGTGTTTATCTGTTTTGGTCACCGGTAACCATGGGATGGCACCTCTTGTTGTGCTCCCACCACCTTGTGGATAAGAACTTTAAGTTAAAGACTGAGATATGGTCTATAAGAGAGTTTTCTGTTTCAGTTTAGGTGGCCATGAAATATCCCAACCCTTCCCCATACACACATACAGAAATATATTAAAAAGAATAAACACATTTGCTTTCAGGTTCATTGTTGATCATTAAATAATACTTATTCATGGAAGGATAAACTTACTTATACACTTTTAAATGGCCACTATATGTTTTAACTAATTGGGACACACATTTAAGTTCTAGCAATCTTGTGCTGATAGTGTAATCAGTGTGTACTTCATGTAATACTATGTGCTTTATCTACTTTTTCAGTAGTATGTGTAGCTGTTGTACCATGATCTACGTTATCATGAACATGATTCCACAATTGTTTAAGAGTTGTACAGTGATAATCAATTCTTACCAGAACATATTTACTATTCTTGAATTCTTTTTCGTAACACACCATACCATGAAATATTTGGAATCTGTGAATCCTTTTTTGTAGTTTCTTACAATTATGTTGTAATCAGAATGGAGATTTAGCGTTTTTTTAGCGAGTTAGTTTTTCTACGGGAGGGGTCGCTAACCCTATGCTCAACCTTCCTCCTTTGTCCGGGCTTGGGACCGACAGTAACTCTAGAAGAGCTACAGGCGGATTGTCAACATTATCCGGAACCCATACGATGAACTACAGTGCAAAGTGATGCATGGAGGACAGTTGACAGATGCATTTCCAGTAGGGACGGGAGTCAAACAAGGCTGTCTACTCTCCCCCTTCCTCTTTCTTCTGGTGATTGACTGGATTATGAAGACTTCGACATCTGAGAAGAAACATGGAATACAATGGATATCTCAGAATCAATTAGATGATTTGGACTTCGCAGATGACCTAGCACTTCTATCTCATGCACACGAACAAATACAGACGAAGACAACAAATGTAGCAGCAGCCTCTGCATCAATAGGCTTCAACATACACAAAGGAAAAAGCAAGATTCTAATATACAACACGGAGAACACCAACCCATTCACACTTGATGGCGAAACTCTGGAAGATGTGGAAACATTCACGTACCTGGGAAGCATCATTGATGAAGAAGGTGGGTCTGATACAGATGTAAAGGCGAGAATTGGCAAAGCAAAGACTGCATTCCCACAATTAAGGAACATATGGAACTCAAAATAACTGTCAACTAATTTCAAAGTGAGAATCTTGAATATGAACGTTAAGACAGTCCTACTGTACGGAAGTGAAATGTGGAGAACTACTACGACCATCATCAAGAAGGTACAAGTATTTATAAACAATTATCTATGCAAGATAACCGATATCCGTTGACCGGATACCATCAACGACAGCCTATTGTGGGAGAGGACGAACCAACTTGCAGCTGAAGAGGAAATTAGGAAAAAATGTTGTAAGTGGATCGGACATACATTAAGGAAATCACCAAACTGCATCACGAGGCATACCCTTACTTGGAATCCTGAAGGGAAGCGGAAAAGAGGAAGGCCAAAGAACACATCACGCCGAGAAATAGAAGAAGATATGAAAATGATGAGTGTTAACTGGAAAGGATTGCCCAGTACAGAGTTGGATGGAGAATGCTGGTGAGCGGCCTATGCTCCTCGATGAGGGATAACAGGCGTTGGTAAGTAAGTAAGAATGGAAATTTGTGGAGACTGTAATATTTTCAGACTTGAATTAATGAGTCACTGGACGTCTAGTACTTCTAGGTTTTCAATGGTAATCTAACTTAAATCGATTCATGAATTCAACTGTTAATACTATGTTATTGGTTTGTTTATAGGTTATTCAACTATATGAAACTGCTGTGAAGGGATTAAATGTATATAATTTATATTCTGAATGTGCTGGTGGTGTTCAAATATCATCTTTCAATCAAAATCGTCCATCAATGTCTATCACTGAATTGTCTTCCATTTTGACATCGTCTAAACAATTTATTCATCATGATTTCGGTAATCTGTTTCGTGATAATGTTTATATGAAATATCGCCGTTATGCTAAGTAAGTCAGTTAAATTTGAATTTTGTACTTAATAGGGATAGGTGATTTTGAAAATCTTACGTTTAGAATTTGATTTCGAACAATATGACATGTACCACAGAAGATTGGATGTCGTTATATACGAGATTAAGATTCATAGACAACTTGACTTTTAACCGTAAAGTTGTAGGTTCGAACCCTATCTCATTTCAAATATTAACTATGATAGACCGTATAAATATATATGGTATTATCTCAGCACACATTTATGTTTTGGGTACCGATTTGTATCAATGTTTATATGTTTTAATAACTATACTATAAGTGTACTGGTTCATTCATAAGTATGGATACAAAATTTGATAACATTTTCAAATTTCATTAGTTAGTCAGTTCACTCGATTATTTACAGATTACGACGATTTTGGTTTTCGAATAGTTCCAGTTCATTGATTATCATTACATAATATGATTAAGTAGGCACTATTATTATTATTATTATTATTATTATTAGTAGTAGTAGTAGTAGTAGTAGTAGTAGTAGTAGTGCTTGTAATGACATATCAATTAAGTTATTTATTGTTCATGACTAATGACTGTTGATATGTGTGTATGGGTACACTTCATGAATACATCAGTATAAATGTTTGTTTGTATGAAGGTGTGTGTGACTGTATGCTAAATAAGACTAATGCCTAGTTACAACATACACTAAATCAGTAATAATTAAATCATAAATAATAAAATTGAAACTACTGTTCCGATTAATGTCTTGAAAGAGTTATTACTGAAATGCACCATGAATGTAAATTTCAAATTCAACGGTGACATATTTAGACAAACAGATGGTGTGGCAATGGGTTCACCTCTGGGCCCTATACTAGCTGATATATTTCTAGCTAAATTAGAGAACGGTCATCTGAAAAAGATTATTCAAGAATTCAAATTTTACTGCAGATATATGGATGACACATTCATCCTGTGTAAAGATAATATTTCACAACAAGATGTGCTTAGGCAGTTTAACGAAGTGCATCCAGCCATCCAGTTTACATCGGAGGAAGAGAGTGATGGCCGATTAGCCTTTTTAGACGTCCTCTTAACTAAGAGATCTGATGGATCGTTAAGAAGAAACATGAACAGAAAAAGTACTTGGACTGGACAGTATACACACTTCCTAAGCTTTGTACCTCTACAGTACAAACGAAACCTAATCAAAACCCTTAGCTACCGAATACGCACTATATGTTCGGCGGATGTAGTTGACAATGAGCTAAACACATTGCATAATGCTCTAAGGGAGAACGGGTATCCCAGAAAATTTATAATTAAATATATGATCTTTAAAGTGAAAATAGGCGAATTCCAAACGGTCAAGAAAAAGTCCTTGTTCATGCGCCTACAATTCAGGGGGGATGCCGCTGGCGAAATACTTGCTCAGAGATTACGCAGATCTATCCAAAAATCTTTCAACGCGGGTGAACTACGTTTGGTGTTTTCTACGCGTCCAATGGTGACACCGAGGCTTAAAGATGAAGTTCCTAGAATGACCACTTCATTTTGTATTTATCAGTTCGACTGCTCCTGTGGAGCAAGTTATATTGGTCGAAGTTCTAGGAATTTACATTTTCGTGCTCGTGAACACCTCCCAGCGTGGCTAAGCAAAGGTCTGATGAGGAAAGTAAACAGCTCGATTTTGGCCCATTTAGTACAAACTGGTCATAGTGCCAGTATAAACCAATCTTTTTCAATTATTTATAGGGTCAGTAATTTTTTGCCTAAGCTTGTCAGGCTTAAAGTCCTTCAAACGGCGGAGGCAGTAGCCATCAGAATGAAGAAACCTGAGCTATGTGTACAGAAGAAATATCTCCAACCCCTACTTCTCCCTTGGCCAACCACAAGGTCAATTAATGAACAATCATCTTAGCTATTGTATGACCTAATTTGACTATGTACTTACGACCTTTCGTAGTCAAATGTAATTGTCTCTCTTATCTTTATTCACAAATCTTTGTATTATTATTATTATTATTATTATTATTATTATTATTATTTTTATTGGTTAAATATCATTATTAATCCCCCCTAAACATGATTCATTCACATCGCATTGATCCCTCCTTATTACGTCTCACTAATTTTTCACACATTTAGTCTTCCACTTGATCGAATTGTAATTGCACTATCATATCTCTCTCTCACCCTATTTGACCCATATTTATATTCTCATCACAGATCTTAAATTTTCATTTTACGTATATACAGATTCAAGTTAACATTCTATATGAGTCATATCAACATTAACTATTTGGTTTCGATAATGCAATGAGAAGACGAAGATTATCAGAATTATGTGATATATTAGCGCAATACATTTCGAACAATCTGATCACACATTATATACTTGTTAAGACATTTTTTTTCTATGAAAATTAAAAGGTCAACTAGACAGGTTAAGGTAAGAAAATAAATAAAGTACACAAAAACAAAGTGATGACTACTCTGGATAATAAATAAGCATTACCAGGGTAGGTTAAGGGTAAGAACAAATTGTTTTTGAACACCAACTTCCTTTTCTAGATATACTGATCAGTAGAAGAGAAGATGGTTCCATCCAACGTTCTATTTATAGAAAGCCGACATGGACGGGGCAATACCTTAATTTCCATAGTCACTGCCCAATTCATTACAAACGTGGGTTAATTAAGGGCTTATTCAATAGAATCAATCGTATTTGTACTAGTGATACTATTGAAATAGAAACGAAGCGTCTAACTAATACGTTAATGAATAACGGTTATTCATTTAAGTTCATAAACTGCTGGAAGGGTTGCAATACGATTAGATCTATTACGCTTCTGGCACCCAAAAAGCGAGTTTATATTACATTACCATTTAGAAGTGACTCTAATA